AGGGCCGCCTGGTGGTTTCAGGGGACCTACGCTAGACGAGGCCGTTAGGGGACCGTTCCCAACCGACTCGACTCGAGGGCGGGGAAAGCAGAAAATGGATCAGCGCCCCCGTGACGCCATAGGCGCTTCCAGCGAAGCCCATGCAGCGCAGCGATTCCCCCCCGTGAGATGCAGACACAAGACGGGAGGCTTGAGAGGCTTGCTTTGGCAGCGACTGAACACCACGCGCCGCACCGTGCAGCTGCCTCGATGCAGCCACCGTGTCGCCAGGACGCAACGTAGCCCCACGATTGGTAGCGGAGCACGTACGGGCTACCACGGGTATCCGCGCAATGGGGGCTGCGGGCGACGTACCGGTACGGCTGCCGTTATCGTTCCAGGTTGTCCTCGTGGGGCGGGCATCATCAGCCGGAGGGGCGGGTGCGGGTGCGGGCATGCAGTTGGGGAAGGGTCCTCCACTGTGGTTGGCACCCAGCGATAGCAGCTCGCTCACCGGGTTCGCGCGCTGGAGCAACAGCCCACACACACACGACGAGGCGGCCGCAATATGGATGTGCACGGCGCATCAGAACCCGCTGGCGGGGGCTAGCAAAGCAGGCAGGGACCAGCAAGGGCAGGGTTGGGCCAACTCGGAGTGCGGCATCTTGTTGTCTCTTCTCTCATCCCGCCCGGCACACAGACGACGGGCAGCAAGACGACAAGCAACAACAGCAACGGGCATGTTGGTCGCCGTCGTCGCTGTTGCGCGCCACCTCACCCTGCTGGCCTCCAGCTTTCCTGGTGGTGCTGTCTGTACTTTCTAGGTACAGCACGGATCTTGCCGCCCAAGGGACCCCGTATCTCCAGGGCACTGGGTGCAAAGTCGTGCAGCACAGTACTGCACAGTGCACTGCGCGGGACGGGACACGGGCAAGCCAGAGGGAGGGGCCTCCGTGGGGTGGATCGGCACCGGCCTCAGCAATGCGTCTTGCCCGCGCCAAGAGGTGCTATACTGCAACAGCTAGCTGCTTCGAAATGCGCGGCGATTGCTGTTGTGAGACGGGCAGCATACGGCTCCTGAGGTCACTGACTCGAACTGCACGTCCAGCTTGTTGGCCGCGCATCAGTCACGATTGTCGAGGTACTTGGGCTCTTGTACCTCAGGATCGACTTTGCTCCCCGGCGTGACCCAATCGCGGGCTACCAAGCTGGCCCATCGTCATTTGCTCTGGAAGCCTTTGTGTCTTTTTTTCTCCAGCGGGCCAGCGATCCGCCTCGCCCGGCTCCATATTCCTTCATTCCATCCATTCGTCCATGTCCAACCATCCATCCATCCATCCATCCATCCATCCATCCATCCATCCATGTCACCACTGCTCCCGGCCGTGGCCGTCGACCGCTGTTGGGCGCGGCTCCGCGTCCCCCTGATGCCGCCGCCGCCGACGCCGACGACGACGACGACAACGATGTTGCTGCCCGTCACCGCCGTTGTTTCCAGCACCAGCACCAGACCCGGGACCAGGACCAGGGGTGCCCGAAGAGTACCGAACCGAACCGTACGTCCATGCGGCTGCACACACCAGCAGAACGGAAGGGGGCGTTGCGGGGAGAGCGAGCCCTGTCCTGACAAGCCTTGTCCTGTCCTGTCCTGCACGACAACCATCGCATGGACGACCCGCCCACCAAACTCGTGCGGCCGCCACGACAGCCTCGACACGCGCGCACGCGCACGCTCTCGCGGTCCTCCGCCTGCCTCATGCGGGCGCCGTTGGGCGGCGGCTGCCGTTCCTCGTACTCAATACGTCCC